TACTACATATACTACATATATACGAGTACAGAGCCAATTCCATTCCGTGCCACGAGTTCCATTCACAAAAACCGTTGACAATCTCCAAAGCTATTCGATGCCAATCGCAGAAACAAATACAGACACACATTTCATATATTGCAGAACGGGCCATTTTTGTGTGTATATTCGTCAGATCGATTTGTTGGTATTGAAGGTATGGCTGGAAAGTCAGCGATAAGCGTGGCGATAACTGACCGATTTCTGCATACCTCAGCAGCAGACAAATATTCACAATTCGAATATGCTTTCCATTCAATGCAGACAAGGTCAGCGTGTGGGAGGGTGGGTTGGTGGGTGGCTGTTCAGTGGGATGTGCAATAAAAATTTCCATTCTCGCGATCTAAACTATATATATATACATATTTATGTATGTTTTCCTGCACACGCAACGATCTAGTCTTTGTCTCTGTCAATATTAACGGAAAACAAGTAAGCATTTTTTATAAAAAAGTATACTTGACTTTAAGATACCCTCTGCTTTTGATGGCCATCAGTCTCTGCAATACCTGCTACATTCTTTGCCCGATTATTGTGAAGTCAGCGCTCAAAAAACAAAAGTTTATAACCCCGCCTAACATGATATATTTTTATTATTATTTTTTTATAATTTTTTTGTTTATTTTTTTTTAATCCATAATCGTTTTTTGTATATTATGTTATAATTGTTGATTTTATCGTAAAACATAAAAAAAAAATATAAAAATATGAACAAATAAAAAAACAAAGCTATTAAAAAACAAATTCATTTAAAGACATAATTCCTGGAAATGTCATGACAATCAATATTTATCAAGTTATAAAAAATGCATTAAGAAAACATATCTAGCTAAATGAAACCCGAATTTCAATTTCATGACGATTGTTTCTTTTTTGCACATAAATAAATCTAAAAGATTTTTGGACTACGTTTGCTGGAAGATAACATTTTAAATACAGGGTATAAAAACAAAACGCTTTGTTCTATAATTTGTGGTTGTTATTGTAATTCTTCTTGCTATTCTAGTAGCTGTTGTTGTTGATAAGAGTTGGTTACCTTTGATTTGTGTTATGTGTGGTGTGTGTGGCATGTGTGGTGTGTGTGCGTGTGTGTGCGTGTGTGTGCGTGTGTGTGTGTGTGCGTGTGTGTGTGTGTTGTGCGATATCGTCGCTTGAGTAGATGTGGAACTGGAACTGGGAGTGCTATCTATCAGTATGGCTGACAAGTTGAAAATTTGGTTTCAGTTACTATTTCAGTTTCTGTTTTGCTGTTTTTCCGTTTTAAGCATATATTTTACTATATGTATCTCTATGCGAATGTGTTTGTATTTGTGTTGGTTGGTTGGTTGGGTGCTTGTTTCAGCGTTGTTTGCTCGGTTTTTGGTTGGACTCGCTGTGGGCTGCGACTGCGACTGCGACTGCGACTGGGGCTGATATCAGTGCTGGTTGCTTTTAATTGGGTCGTTAAATGAGGTTTCGTGTTTTATTTTTTTTTTGTTTTTGTTTTTGTTGTTTTTGTTGTTTTTTCTTTTTGGGCGGTTGGTTTTTTGTTTTATCATGTGACTTCTTCAAGGTGTTTTGAGGACAAATCTATGTATAGGTAAAACACGATAACACCGACCACAAAATGAAATGAAACGAAGCGAAATGCACATCTCGACGAGTCAAAAGTCAGCTCTTAACCCATTAATGCCTAATCAAATCCAAATTGCAATCGCAATTAGATATGCCAGACAAGCGTTGCTTGTTTGACCTTCAGTCTTTAGGGGTTTCTCGCACACAAACGGGGTGGTTCAATTTACACGTGTAACTATTGTCATGGCCTCGAGTGTGTCTCTATATGTCTGTCTCTCTCTCTCTCTCCGTGTGTGTGTGTTTTTTTTTAATGAGTTGAGGGTTGCTCGGATCAGCCCCCGTAACAACACTGATGGGTTTATTAATATTCGGCCGCACTTATTAAAGTGCATGTGGACTCGATATAGCAATAAACGCGCCAAATGTTTGTTTCTCTTGGGGTTAATGAGCGAAGCGAAGAGAGAGAGGGAGAGAGAGCGGGAGAGTGCCACAGAGAGAGCGAAAGATCTTTAGTCTAGCATTGCCCTCTCTCTCCCTTCACCCTCTCTCTGTGCGCTATCGTTCATCCCGGGGGGGTTGTTCGCCTTGTTGTTTATATATAGAGGTATATATAAAATTTTTTTTGCGATTTGCAAATGGTTTTCCGCGTTTAGGTTTTGTTTTTCAGCCATTCGCTCATTGTATCGCATTTTTATTTCCCGTGTGAAAATTGCCAAAGGCAGCAGAGAACAGGAAGTCGCCTGGGAGGCAAAAGGAACGTCAACGTTTGTCGTCCTGTCGTCCTTTCGTCCTGTCGCTCCTTTCGGGTGGTTGCTTGTGGGTTGCTTTGTGTGTGATGGGTTATGATTTGGTTGCCTTGGTGGTTGATTGATGTGTGTCGCATAGTTTTCTGTATTTATTCTTATACAACATTTTTTTTGTTTTGGTTTTTTTTTTTTTTTTTGGTTTTTAGCTTATCAGGGGGTGTGTGTGGCATTAACAGGGTGTTAATTGTTGGTAGATATTTTGTCAAGCCTTAGGCTTTTCTTTAAGTGGAAAAGTGCTAAAGTTGGTGCTTAACTCTGAACTTAAAGGTAATTTTTAATGATTTGTGTGTAGAGTTTCCACAGTTATATTCCATTTTGCATATTTAGAGACACCAAGGATTCTATGTTTAGTAGTGTTTATAAACAGAAGATATTCCTCATTTATCTAAAGGTGTGTTGTGAGCCATATTTCGATTCTTATTTCTGACTGTCCTCTCTGGCTGAAGGAGTTATCGGATTCGTTTAAGTGTAGCTTAAATTTCTGAATGTACGCTTTTATGAGTGATCACTGTACTGAGTTTAGTTTGAATATTAGGTATTTAGGGGAGTTTTCTGAGATATTGCCCACAAGCATTTTCCCAAAATCCCCATGAAATTTCCAGTGCATTCCACACAGAAATGTCGACAATTGCGATGATTTTGTGTTGCTCTGCTGCCATTTTCATTTCAGATTTTAAGATCTTGGTTTTTGGGTTAGGTTACCTGTGTCAGAGCTACAAATGGATTAGGGTTTATACCTGTTCCCAAGGCATTTGCGCTAGCATTTTAACTGGAAGATGATGAATTACAGCAAGCGAAGCGACGAAAAACTGTAGAAACTCTATTTGTAGTTTAGTGTTCGGTTTCATTGTTGTTGTATAAAAATGCGTGGCATGTGAGAAAAACTGCAAACGGAGACGCAGAGAAAGGCGTAGGTAGGCAAAAGAAACAGCAACAGCAGCAACAACAACAACAGACCCAAACCCAGATGAGACGAGTTTGTAATGCTTCGTTCGGTTTTTTGGTTTCGTCGAATGACCTTTTTTCTTCTCTATTTGAACATTGCGCTCTCCCCCTTTACTCGCGTTCGAACACAAAAAAAAAAACAGAAATTGGGCGAAAACATTGTCGAACTGACGAACTGATGTTGTTGTTGTTGTTGTTGCTATCGACTGAAAAGGGCAGGCAGAAAGCAGAAGGAAGGCAGGCAGAGGAAAAGGCAGAGAAGCGGATCGGCTGCGTCTTGGGAACATTTTCTTTTGGCATCGCTTGTGCGCCTTTTCTTTCGACGAAAATAGTTCAATGGAAAACTCCAAGAACATGAACGACATGAAAACAACAACAGCAACAACAATAACACCAGCAACAACAAAGCAACAGCAGTAGGTCGTAGCTGCGGGCAAAGTCGCAAAACAAATTTGTGAACTCAACGGCAAATGTTTTCTAAGGCCAGAGTGAGAGCGAGCAAGAGAGAGAAAGAGAGGGAGAGAGAGAGTGGATATGCTCTTTGGCTTACGTGCGAGTTGAGGTGAGTGATTGTGTGTGTGTGTGTCTGTGTGTGTATTTGAGTCAATTATGGGTCAGCTGTGCGTGAGCCTGAGAGCAATAGAGAGAGAGAGGCTGAGCATGAAATGCAGCATTGAAGTGAGGAGTTCAGACGAGGAAGAAGAGATACGTATAACGGCTGTCACAGCTGATTTGTAGTTGAGAGTGTATGTGTGTGTGTGTCTGTGTGTGGAATATGTTTTTGGCAAGTTTGTTTTTGTTTTGTAGGCAAATGAAATTTGAATATATATTTACAAATATGACAATTGTTATATGGATAATCAGTTGATCAGTTGATTATGTTATTATTATTTTCACTACAACAAACAAAGCATAAGTTATACACACAAAATTTACATAAAATATCTAAAAACAAAAGCACATTCCTTTCAAAGCACAACAATTAAATTCGATTCTCTATGTGAAAAAAAAATGTATATATATTTTATATTTTTTGATTTCTTTTTTGAGCAATTATATTTATGCACTACATTTCTGTATATATAATTTATTTAAATGTATTTTTAGCAAAATTTATTGACGAACAATTAAAAAGTAAAGTGAAAAATGCTCGCGTCAAGTTATTTTTATCTTTGCTCAAGTATTTCTTTTTTCTTTTTCTTTTTATTTTTATTTTTGTTGTTTTAAATGGAATTTATTTTTAGATATTTTACCTAAGTTTTGCTTTATTGTGCGAATTGTTGTTGTTGTTGTTGTTCGGCTCCTGCTTATCGCTGTTGTTGCTGCTGTTGTGGTTGCTGTAACTGTTGTTGTTGTTTTTGTTGCTGCTTCTGTTTTTAGGGACAGGTGCGCGAAGTGGCAGAAGATGAAGAAGCACTAACTAAAAGCAGAACAGCAGTTTTTGCTTTACCGTTTTTACTTTGTTGTTGTAATTATTATTATTATTATTGTTGTTGTTGCCGCCTTAATAATTTTATTGTTGTTGTATTTATTGCTCTTGTTCTTTTTTCTGCATTCACTTTTCACTTGCTAACAAAATCTTTTTTTTAGTTTAACACCTGGTTTGTATTTTGTTTTTAACTGATAAATTTTTTTATTTTTTGTTTGGAAACTTACTTTTTGGAATTGCGCTTCGTTGTTTGCTTGGAATACATGGGAATTTTGTCAACAATCAATTGCATGGCATCAACAAATACATGGGCATCCAAACACACTGTCCGCGGTGTGCTTTTGTTGTTGTTGTTATTTTTATTCACTCTTGAAATGTTTTTACTTGTTGTTGTTGTTGTTGTCAAAGGTTCAGCGACATTTTGGCAAAGTTTATTTCAACTTTGTTTTGTGCACTTTTGTTTTCTTCTTTCACTTTTGCCTTTTGTTTTTGTTTTTGTTTTTAACTTTAATTTGTTGTTGGTTTTGTTGTTTGTTTATTTGTAATTTGTTTGTTACGCTTTCACATTTCAGTTGGGTCTGTTTTCTTGTTTTATCTTTTGTTTATGATTTTTTGCACAAGTTGTTTTTGTTTTATTTTTTCTTTTTTTGGTTACTAGCAAAATTTTCTTGAAATTTTTTTCGATTTTTGCACTTGTTGATTATTTGAACAAATTTTGATTTGATTTTCTTTTTGTTTTGTTCACTTGTTGAAATAATTTGTGCTAGTTGTTTGTTGTTGGTGTTGTTGTTGTTGGTGTTTGTGTTATAATACTGCTGTTGTAGTAATCCAAGTTGCTGTTGTTGCTGCTGAAGTTTGTTGTTGTTGTTGTTTGTTATTTATGTTGTTTATTTGTTTTGTTTTGTTGCAACAGGAACTTTTTTGAGCACTTAATCCAAAAAATGTGCTTTGTTGTTTATTTGTTGTTTGCTCACTTGAGAATTAATTTTTTGTTGTTGTTTGTTTGTTCTAAATATGTTTCTTTCACTTTTGCTTTGTTTATTTAATAATTATAATTTTTTAATACACATTCAAATACTACGCTGTTGAATAGCTGAATAATAAAGGTGGTCACAAAACGAATTGAAGGTTTTCGAAAAAATTCCAATGATTTTTTTGACGTGAATCTTTTGTTTTGTTTGTAAAACGTTTTGCGTATGCCGCGTTTTAATGCTTGCGCGTGTTTCAACCGAACGACGACAACATTCGACGGCAGCCAGAAAGGAACTGAAGCTGGCTGGCAACGCTGACCGTGGCACGACTCGAAACTGACTGAACGGGAAACTGTCGACTGCGATGGCCGCTGCTGCGGCTGCCTCTGTTGCTGCTGCTGCTGCTGCTTCAGTCGCTGCTGCGATGGCGGCGCTACCTTCGCACCCACACACACATGTACACCACATACAAATGTAGACAGAGCTAGAGAGAGAGAGAGAGAGAAGAAGAGAGAGCGTCGTCTGCGAACATGTTTGCTAGCAGCATTCAGCATTTGCGCGTGGTACAGTTGTCGGCTCTCTTGTGTGTGTGCGCTCTCGCTCTTTCTCTCTCGCTCGCTCGCGCGCTTGATTTATTTCAGGTCGCTGTGTTTGGTATTCATTTGAATGTTAAGGGGCGACGACGCGCGAGCACTTAAGTAAAATAATAATTATACGTATGTCAATTTGTTTGACTTCTTTGCGTGCGTTTATTGCTACGTTTAGCGTACAAAAGCGTACAAAACGTAGTAGAATTCTACTACCTTTTTGGCGACGCTGACATTTATTGGGTTTGTTTTGAAAGCGTTTAATGGGCTCTCACACATACATAGTACTACGAGAGTAGTATATGTGCGTGTGTGTGTGTGGTGGTAGCGTTAAGTAGATTTTTCAGCACATTTGTCTTAATTGTTGTGATTTGTGGTTGATATTTGAATGATTTACGGCTGCCAGGGGCGCAATTTGGGGAGTTTCGATATTGTGGCTTACATATGCAAATTGAGTGCTTTATTTTTGAGTGTTTATTTTTTGATTATTAAAATGCAAATTAATTGTTGGCTAAACGTTGACAATTTACGAGCTAGTTTTGATATCGAACATAATTAAGATATTGTCTAAATAAACACTGCATAAATTAATAAATAAATATATTAATATATAGATAAACATTCCATATGCTCAAACACACACACGCTCACACACACACACAGACTTATTCACTCGTTGTTTGCTTTCGTCGAGTGGCCGCAAAATTGAAATACTTTAATTACCCGAATAAAAAACATTTAACAATTTAATCTGAGCATATCAATTGCCGCACACAACACTCGACGCACACACACACACGCACACATGCATGCATGCGTACATATAGTAGACTCTCTCTCTCACTCAGAGGCACTCTCATTTCACGCGCTCACACGCTCACGTTTCGTGCTCTCGGCACAGTCGAATCATGCCCAAAATCCACTCCCAATTTATCACTCAATTAGCACAGAAAAATGTAGTAGTGTATTTACTACACTTCTCACAGAGAGAGTGAGAGAGAGAGAGCAACAGCAGCAGCAGCAGCAGCTGCACAGCGTGAGAAATTCACTGCGAATTAAATGCATACCCAAGCAGCCGAACTTCGGGCTACTACTGCTCGGCTTTTAGACATCGGCTTCGGTTTCGAGCTCTCGTCACTCGTCTCTCGCCGCTGACTCTTCGGCTTTGGCAGCGGCGTATCCGTATCGGGTGTTCATCTCAATGAAATTGTAGCATATTTGTTGCCATATCGAGATTAAATTTTCAAAACACAAACGAGCGCTGTTGGAGGTGGCAAACCGACAGAGAAAGGCTGCTATAGAGCGAGAGCGAAACGAGAGAGAGAGAGAGAGAACGAGAGGGAGAGAGAGAGAGAGTCCGCTTGTAAGCTTTTGTGCGGTGGGTGGGTGGCTGGGTGGTTGGTTGGTTGGTTGCTTGGTTTGTTGGTGGGTCGTTCGCTTGGTTGGTCGTGCGATTTATTGATGACGTCGACGACGGCATCGCTGCCACTGCCGCTGCCGCTGGCAGTGTTAATGTGTTTGTTGCTTTGCCATACAATTATGTTTTATTTTATTTAACATGCTGTTTTTTTTTTCTTTCTTTATTTGTGTTTGCTTTTCTCTGCTGTTGTGTTGCTTTCGATTTTTGGCAGAGTCCTTGTCATAATTTTAATGCGAGAAGGAAACGCAGCCGTCCTCACGCAGGAAGTCTTCGAAAGAGACGAAGCCAGCAGCAGCAGCAGCAGCAGCAGTAACAACAACAACTACAACAAAAATAATAATAAACGTCGACAGTTGTGCGATGATGGCAGCTTCATTGGGTTATGCTTATGATTGTGTTTGCGTGTGTGTGTGTGTGTGTGTTAAAGGAAGTGTACTGCGTTGTAGGCCGTCATCGGCCTTATGCACGTGTGCGTGCGTGTATGTGTGTGTGAGTGTGTGTGTGCAGGCGAGGGAGGTTCGAAGTATCTTTATCCGTATCTGTGTAAATGCGTCGCTTGCTGTTGTTGTTGTTGTTTTTTCGTTCGTTCGTTCGCCCCTCTGTCATTGTGTGTGTTTGTGTTTGAGTGTGTGTGTCATGGGCTGCTTATGTGCGTTGTGTTGTTCCTGTTGTGTGCCTTCCTGTCACTGCTGACTGCGAGCCGAGCAGTCGCATACAGGGTGTTCTGTTCGAAAACAAACCACATTACTAAGTCCGATTTGCATACATATTTATTTAGCTAGGTCAAATTGGAGGCAGAGGTGGAAAAGGAGAATGTCTGCATAAAGGTTAGAACATACAGGGTGTGTCTATGTGTGACAGCTGATGACTACAGGATGCAACAATTATACAGGGTGTCTGTGTATAACAGCAGCAACAAATTATATAGTTTTTGACGAAACCACACATATAGAAAATTACAGGGTGCTAAAAGTAAGCAGGTTGTCTGTTTGGAGGATACCAATTTATTTGTAGAAAATATATAAGATTAATTGTAAGACCAAATCTAAGAAATTGTAATAATAAACAAAATATTTCATGTTTTTATGTTTTTAATTTACGTTACAAGTTATGCGCAAAAAACGATTTGTGTAACTTTAAAGCTTCAGCGCTGTGGCAGGCGTCACCCTGTATTTAAAACGCGGCTGTAAAAACAATTTAATGCATAAAACGACGAAAATCTGGTTTTCACAAAACCAAACCCAGAGCCAACAACAAGAGACGAAAGCGCTAAAGGAGGAGGCAATGGGTGGTAATGGAGGAGTAGAAGGAGATGGCGATGGCGATGGCCAAGGAAGTGGAGAAGGAGAAGCAGAAGCAGAAGTTGCTGCTGCTGCTGCTTGGCCTGTGAGTGTTCTTCCAGCAGCAGCAACTGTTGAGATTACACTAAAAGTAACTGCCAACAGCAACAGCAGCGGCAAAACCAACAACAAGCAACTGCAGTCGCTGCGAGAGCGCAGCACTAAAATCAATTATGTAGCAGGGAGCAGCAGCAACAACAACTACTGCAAAATGCAGTTGGTAGCAGCGTGAAAATAGTAGTGAAAAAAAAGAAAACAAAAAAAAAAAATGGCAAAGTAAAATGAAAAAGCAGACAACGCTGCACAGCTAACGTTGACGCTGGCAGAGGCCAGGGTAGCGCAGCAGGCGCAGGGTGGGTGGCTGCTTGGGTTGCCAATGCCAGTCAGCGAGTCAGTCAGTCAGTCAGAGCGACAGACAGTGCGACGACGCTCTCTGCGTCGCGTCGGTCAGTCACAAATATGTTGCGCATTTTTGCCTCAGCAAGAGAGAGGGCAGAGTGGGGGAGGGAAGAGAGAGAGAGAGAGAGGGAAAGAGAGCACGAGTGCTGCTGCTGCTGCTGCTTTGTAACTGTTGTTTTTATTGCTGTGGGGTGTTGGTGGTGGTGTTGCTCCGTTTGGCTTGGTTTGCTTTGGTTTGCTAGTTAAATGCGTGAGAAGCGCTGAGAGAGGCAGCCAACAGCAGGCAGCAGGCAGCAGGCAGCAGCAGCAGCAGCAGCAGTAAACGATGAACTTTGCTTGACGATGCTCGTTGTTGTTGCTGTTGGTGTCTGGTTGTTGGTAGTAGCTTGGTTTGAGGCAGACACCTTTCCACGTGCAAGCCGAGAGCATCTATCTCTGCTACCGTCAGCGTCGCTGCTGCCCCGCAGATGTTTGGCAAAATAATCAGCGAGCAACGTTGGAGAAAAGAGCGTGCAAAAAAAAAAAAACAAAAAAATATTATGCTGAGTGCTTTGGCTGCCTGCCCATACAAAGTGAAAGAAGCAGCAGGCAGCGACTCACTCACACACTACACATACTTCTCTCTGTGTGTGTGTGTGTGTGTGTGTGCAGCATAACAAAAACAGAAAAAAAGGCAGCGAAAGAAGAAAATCAACGAACAGCAGCCGCAGCAGCAGCAACGGCAGCAGCAGCGACGCGACGGTCGCTGGT